TTGGAATATTCATCTAATTGTTCGCTCAGCCGTGGGGATGTTTCAGGCGAGCGCTTCTTTGTTTGTTTTTCTCTTTATCGTCCTAACTTCAATGAGAAAAAAGAATGCGCTAATATACTCTCGCTCAAGACTGCGTTAACCAGGAGAGTTCACTCTTTGTTAGCTCTTTGAGAACGCTTTTAACGTAAGATCTCAGACTAACAATTTACCCTCTCCTTTGCAATAGACGTTTTGTAATCGTTTAATCCTTCTGCTCTTTTTGGAAACACAGAAGAATAACCTCCATTTAGTTATTAAGTCCTGATCATCAAAAACCATCAGTAGAGTATAAAAGTGCGAGTGTGAAGTATAAGGGAGTGACCCATGCATCGCACGGCTAACGATGAACCTAAACGATTGGGCCATTTTTTCGTGATGTTTATTTTCTTTACAGGGGCTCGCTAACTTTAATTTTTACTCCTAAGTATTGCTCTGCGCATCCTGTACTGCGCGTAAAAACACGCATAAAACTCAATAAGTGGGGAGAAACACGAGACGTAATCTCGTGTTCCTTCTTGTTCTAGCTGCTTCCTGCGTGCTTTAAAACAGAATACGGCATCAGTAAATTGCTTAGGGTTTGGTCTCTATTTATTACATATAAAACATTATGCGCTATCGCTAATTCTATGTTTTTTCGAACATCTTACAACGCTAGCAATTTACAAACCAGCAGGAGAACTAGTACTTTAAAAGAACAGTGATTGATATCCATAAAAGGTTAATTGATACCTGTCAAGGTATTTTTTTTTTAACTTGTACTTGTACGTCGAGACTGACATAGTGATATTGGAAATCAAACTTAATAGCTTTGTGGACAGCAGGTTTTGAATGAGTTTCCTCTTTCTGAAATAGCGCATTAAAAGAGTATCAGTTAAATCACATGCTAAGTACGAAAAAGTCAACGATTTCATAGAAAACTTCAATTTATGCGAAATCCTTGAATGTTTATCAAAAGGCTTTTGAACACATGAACTGTCCCTTGACAACGTTTCGTTGGTCTATTTTCATTCTTATCTAATACTACATTTGATAATTGGCTAAAATGATGTCTAACGAACCATGTGTTTTGTTCGTTAGACATAAGAGTATCCTTAAATTTCGCCCATATTTTCTAGCAACTATCTAAAGCTAAGTTTCAAGCTTTTTTTTTTTTGACTGATGTTGGCAATTCTTGTAAAGAACGAAAAATAAAGCTTTTTAAATTCAACTTAATATTTCTATAACAATATCAAGAAATTCAGGTGACAACTTTTGGTATTTGTTTTGCAATTTTTAGAAACTATTCACATTAGCAACTTTCCAGCATTTTAGGATCCTAATCGGGACAGGCCTAGTCTAACAGTTCAAATTTTTATTATTTTACGGCTTATGGTTAATTTCTCTCTGACATTTTGACTATTTTGGTTGGTGATACTGAATTACGGCCAGAAGACGTAATGAACCACTGAGTTAGCTTGGCCATTATTGCTTCTTGAAAACATTTTTATCAACTTTTTTTCCACAACTAAGGTTTATTGGTTTGTTTAGGTGGGAATATGTAAACACCGTTGGAAGATTTCATTTCCTGGACTTTTCAGGTATAATTTGATCGGGGGAGAGGGGTAAGAAACTCGTCAAAATTCATGTAAATTGCGTCACGTGTTTGTTCGCTGTCCTTGCATTAAGATAAGGCTATGTGAGGGATGGACCATTATTTATCTGGAGGACCATTGTGCATTTGGATTGAAACAACTGCCATCGATGGTAAAGTTTTTTGATTTCCCTTCCGGCAAGATATTCGAACTTCATTGATATTTGTCACAATTTATTTGCTTTCCTTTGGTCTAGAATATTTCCTAAACACATCTTGAAAACCCCTAGGGGTAGTCTGAAACATGTGGCTTATAAGAAAAACATTGTTATTAGTTATCAGCTATTTAACCGTCAGTTCAGGAGGAAACAGCTAATCGGAAAATTGTTGTGAACTCAGTATTATGCGCGTGTTTAATTAAACGAAACAAATTATTATTGTTGTAAATAGGTTGCAGTTATTATTCAAGATGAACACGTTTGTATACTATGTGAATCGAACTGTATGCTGCAAGCATTCTTAAAGTGAAAAGGTCGACTGGATACGCCTGCAGCTGTGTTCTTTGATCGTTGGAACCATGCGGTCAGATGCGATCGATCGAGGCGCCGCGATCCAAAGTGACACCATCGTAGAAAAAACGATTTTAATTCTATACAAATTCATAGCTTTTTCCATTTTCTGCACAACTTTGATCCACTTAGTCTCACATAGTGGATTCGCTGGTGTTGATCAAAAATTAAATATTTAATATGCATTGAGGACAATACCTGTTGTGTTTCTTTTACTTTATTAAATTCTTGCTGCGACTTAATTTTGGCGGAGAGACCCGACGTCAATAATTTGCATGACAGGGTTATTTCAGTAGTGTAATCAATTAATCTCTACGGTGGCCAATTTACGATATCACTTTAGTTGTTAAACTAAATTACCCTGTTATACTCTCCCACCGATGCTGCACCACAGTTTCTTTAGAAACCTACCCCCACTATTAATTTGCATGACAGTGAACTTCCCACATCATATACCAGAGGTAGACGGCTGGTCGTGCCTCAAAACAACACTAGGTGACTGGGCTTACATATCTTTCTGAGAAGAGAACTCTCGCAAGTCTTGTAGTTTTATTGCAGTTATACGAATATTTTCGATTTTCCTATCGCTACTGAAAATCAGCCAGAAGTTTGCGTTTGATTCAGCTGACAGAAACTCGACTCACACAACTGAAAAAATGATGATGACTGGAAGTTGCCAGTAATGGGGAACACTCTTGAGTGAGTACCAAAGTCCTTTCTAAAAGATTAATTTTATTTAATATGTCTTATAAGCAGACTAATAGAAGTCGAGCTTATGGCTTCACCTTGGACGGTTTTAAGTTAGTTTGTCCTTTAATGTATTATGCAGCTGACCACAGAGGCTTTCTTCAGGAAGCCAAGTCATATTATTTCAAGGGATATACTTAAAGAAGCCAGTTTAGCAATGTCTTACTGAGCTACAGACTTAAAGCCTGATTTAACTCACGGCTCTATCATGAAAAAGTGAAGCTCTCATGCTCGATTTTCCTTTCAAAACACGATTCGCTGATGTCAGAACCTTCTTTTGTTAAATTATTCATACGCTTTTGAGATTTTAAATGTAAACTTTTGATTTAACCATAGACGAGCGCGCTATGGAATTGTTTTCAGTATCTGTGTCTGATCGACCCGTGTCTCAACGTGTCATATCTCATGCACGCCTTTCACATCGAGTTTCAAATTTGTCGTTTGTATGTCACATCGCTCGTCATGTGTGCGATATGTCATACTGCTTGAAACAAAGCCAAACAATAAGTGGCTCTACAGTTATCATACTCCCTGTTTTTCTGTGGACGGCCACATATCTGTTTCACTGTGCTCTCAAAATTTCAACTTTAATTAGGATGCTAATAAGATTCACCAGCACCCGCTGGTCTGATACTGTTGGACTACATTGATGAAAACTTAAACTTAACTTATCTTGTAAACTCGCTCCTTCCTGAGATCAGCCATGGTTGTTAGGCACCAGCAGTGACTGTACTGAAGAAAAAAAAATGTAAAATATACATGGCAGAACTCTCACGGAAAGTGATTGCAAAGAAGTGCCTCTTGTCAAATTGAGAAAACGGATCCAAATTTAGTGACAGAAAAATATCTGAGGTCTCACATTTTGATATAAAAATGAATATAAAAGGTCGATAGCACATAAATAGGTATGCGAAATAAGGAAAAAGAGCAGCAATAATATTATAAAACGTTTTTTAAGTTTGGTTGGACCGGAAACTATTTAAGTGTCGTTCATGACTTAAGAATCGAAATAAGTTTGGCCTTATTGTCATGACCTGAGTGAAAAATACGTTTACAGTTCTCCCCTATTCCTGACAAGAACAATATTAAAGTTGTGTCAAACAAATGATAATAAGAAGCGAGTTTTCGAAAGCCAAATAATTCTGAAAAAAATTTTTATTAGATAAAACGAAGAGTTTCGTTGCCATTTACTTGCATTATAATAATGACTTCGTATTTTGAATTTCGAAGATAACGGAAATTCTGCGTGAATCTCAGTAGAAAGTTTTTTAAAGGAAGTCTGCAGGTGGCATTAAAAGAAGTTTAAAAAAGAGTATCATGTTTCATAGTTTTATCACTTAAGCATGTTGAACTCTGTAAAGTTCCTCTTTCAATACTAGTCAAGTTCAATTTAAAGTCAATTTGTTTCCAAATATCTCTTTATCGAACTTGAGAAGTGAAGGAAGACTGCGATGCTCACTCAGGCAAGCTCATAGCACAGGAGAAGTACCTTATGGTTCTGTTATCACCATGATAGGATAGAGTTAAACCAAATATATTAATTTGGGAAATTTTTAATAAGCGTTGTCAGGGGCAGCGAACTGTGTGCTATTTGAATAGTATAGCGTGAATGTTTGAATCAGGAGAAAGAGCTGCTAGTACGTTAGGGAATGGGTCTTAAAGGAGTCTGTTACTTTATATTTAGATGTCTTTTTGCATGCAATGGGCGACGACTGTTCGCTGTTCTTAGTAAAAACTGTTTCTGCCATTGAGCTTTGACAACTTCTAATTGGAAAAAAAATTGGTAAAACTTTCGATTAAGTCATAGACGAACGCTCAGTGGGACTATTTTAGTTTCCGTGTCGACTCGTGCCACACCTCACGCTTGCTTTTTCACATCAAGCTTGAAATTTGTCGTATGCATGAAAAATCGCTCGTCATGCGTGTGCGCGATATGTCATACTACTTGAAAAACAGCCAAAAAATGAGTGCCGCTGCGATTATTGTGTTCCCTGTTTTTCAGTGGAGCCCACATATTTGTACCACTGTGCTCTCAAACTTTATGATTTAATTTCAGGTGAGATTATATAACAACAATGGGAGTCCAAGAGTTCTTTTATTTACCAGTTCTCCTCTTCAGGTTGGTATCGTTTCACTCAGTTGTTACTCAGTACCAACGTGATACACGTGAAGTCTCCATCTTTGGTAAGATGCTTCAAAAACACATTTTTAAAACAATCACTGGAGCAGCATTCGGCGATGTGTGTTTGCGGGAATGTTATCGTGACGTCAGATGCCAAAGCTTTAACTATGTGTTCACCCAGGACAGATGTGAGCTGAATAACCGTACAAAGGAAGCTAGGCCTGAAGATTTTGTACCCAACTCTGAGAGATATTACTTCAGACGAGATAGGAAGAGAGGTGAGCGTTAAGGCAAAATGATTTGGCTAATTGTCTTGGAGGGGAAGATTTCGCATTTTTTCTTCACCTCTTCTTTTTTTTTTTTTTTAATTTTTTAGCTATCCTCGGAGCCATTCCAGAGCTGTCTGCAGACTCGTGCAAGGAAATCAAGGCAAGCAAAGGTGGACAAGCGGTCAGTGGAATATACTGGCTGAATTTCATCAAACCTGACACTCCTGTGTTGGCTCATTGTGACATGATAAGCGAAGGTAGAGTAAAGCAGTTAAACAGAATGAATATACAGTAACACGTATTGTACATGGCATAAAAGCTAACTGTCAGCTTTTCTCTCAGGTGCAATAGGAATCACCCTGAAAAGATTGCTACTTTGTCAAAGAAAAGCTAGGATTGTTCTAGAATGTTTAAGATTTGTTCCTTGGAAACTATTTATGAAGCAGCTAGGAACTGTTGTGTCAGCCCTTACAGAGCAGATGGTTGGCTGTTAATCTAACATCAGGAAACTAAAATCAACTTAAGTCGCGTCACCCACGAATAAGCGTCATATGGCGGATTTTTTTTTCCATCCCATCTTTTATCTTATTTATATATTTCATCCATGTACGAAAGTTGATGACAGCAATAATTGCATATTCATAAGAATCTAAGTTTTTCAAAGTTGGATTTGATAACTCTTGACTCGTTTGCATCCTACTAAGCAAGATGTACTTATTGTTTATGCCATCCTTTAATTCCCATCACCAAGAAACGTTCATATATGTTATTGGAATGACATACCAGCTAAGGTGGGAAGAAAGTTGAAGCTTTTAAGAAAGTCTCATAAAGCAATGTCGTTGCTAGGAGTTATTTCTCTGAGCTTTATTCGACTTTCACCTCATTAGATCTGAAATTGCTTCGCGTCAACAATTTATTCTTTATTTAAACGCCAAAGTTCGGTGCAAATGTTCTCAAGTCTTTGCATTGTTTTCTTTTGATTCGATATTCTTTAATTTTATATAACTGCAAAGAGTTTATTTTGCGTGTCAGCGATATGGCTAAACCTCCATGATAAACTGTAGACATCTTACACATTAATTTCCAGGTGTTGACTCAATTCTCTATAGTGTTTGTTAAGTGTGTAGCTCTCTCGGTTCGTTGCTCTATTGAAGGTTATAAAATACTTGGAAAAAATCCAACTAAGTCAAGATAAAGGCCGCAGAATTTTTCCCTAAAAAATTCCACGGCTATCATGTTCATAGCACATTTCAGGTGTAGATATTTTTTATTTTTTGAAGGTATATTGAATTTATTTTTTCATAGATGTTATATTGGCTTATGTTCGACAGATATTGCATTAATTGCACAATCTAATTCTTTTAATCTTTTTAATACCCAAGTTAATTTTACGGCCGATGGGAGAAGAGGACGCTTTGGCACTATACAGACGTTCACTGTTCCACGGACCACCCGTTATCTCATCAAAGCCTGGGGTGCTCGGGGAGGAACACATTCATACGATTATGGATATCTTCCAGGAACATATTATGGTGGAAAGGGAGCGTTTATAGAAGGCAAGTTCAGACTGAATAAAGGAACGGTGTTAAATGTTGTGGTGGGACAAAGAGGAGGGGATTCGGTGGAAGTAAAAGGTGGATATAGCACTAAAAAGACAGCAGCTCAATTAGGAGTGTCCGTGGAAGACAATGCTGGCACTGGAGGAGGGGGAGGAAGTTTTGTTTATACTGCAGATAATGTTTTGTTGCTGGCTGCCGGAGGAGGAGGGGGTGCGTCTGGTGGATATAATGGTGTGGATGGTCAGGCTGGTTCAAATGGCACCGGTAGTGTGGGGAAAGAATCCTCACGAGTTCGAAATGGAGGCACAGGGGGACAGCCAGGTGAATGCAACAGTAACGGCGGTAACTACCATGGAGGAGTGGGTGCCGGTTGGTTTGGTCAAGGTTGTACCCGACTAGGCTCCTCCCATGGGGAAAGAGGTGGATCACGCGCTCAAGGCTGGATCGGAGGTCAAGCTGGAGGTATGAATAGCGGTAATAACGGGGGCCCTCCACCAGGAGCAGTTGGTGGGTTTGGTGGTGGAGGAGGTGGATCAGAGGATAATGGTGCATCAGGCGGAGGTGGTGGTTACTCTGGGGGAGGTAGTGGTACCAGTTGGAATCAAGCCGGAGGTGGAGGAGGCTCGTACTGTAATGGCGAAGATTGTTCCGGTTTCACTGGTGGGAACTCGAATGATAATGGCCTTGTACAAATTATAGAATTGTTGGGCTGATTCCGAGACGTCTCTTGAGTATTACAGTTGATTTTCAAAAGCCGATTTTCCATTAACAAGAAAAAGCTGTCGTGGTGGTAATTGCAGAAGTTTTTATATATATTCTAATTCCTTTGTTCCTTTTTTCAATATGAGATGATAAGAATGCTCTTACCCTGGCTGTTATTAAAAATGTCACTGTCTAGGATCATAACACCCTATCCCTTAACATCCTGAGATTTGATAAAACGTTTTTAGAGTTTACTCGTCAGAGTGTGGTCAAAAACCATTATAACGTCAATAATATTTAACCCGGGCTTGAGCACGTGATCTACCTCTATTAAATTATAAAGTTAATAATTTAAAGGGAACTGTCCAATGAGTTCCATCTATTAACTATCCTATTATGGAAAGTTTTTTTTAATAATAAACTCTTCAGAACTGGTCCCTAATGTCATGCCGGTTTAACGTTAACCTCAGTCAAGCCATGTTCACGTGTAACGGTGGTTGTCTTTAAATACGAGCGGGAAGTCATATGGCCCCAAAGTAACCAATCATAACGCTCGCTGTTGAAAAAAATTCCAGTTGTAGAACAATATCAGTTTTTGGTGATTGAGATTGTAAGGTTACCAGAGGTTCGTATCTTTTTTTTTTCCTTTTTAACAGTATCTCTTCTTGAAAGAAAAAAGGATACAAAAGAGATAGAAAGTGAGAATATTTTACAAGACGTCACTAATCAGTGTTTTGGCAGTTATTAAGCTATCTAAGAAGCTCATTTCTAGTCCTTTTCGGGCAACCTAATAGAGGGTAGAGTGACGTCTATTTTCGTTATGTTAGGATGTTTGTTATGAGTACAGATTTATCAAATAACTTACAAAAAAGTTTGGGTACTCAAACAAACTTTAAGATATTTAGTGGCAAAAAATACACAGGGTTAGACGTCGCTTATTAGAGGTTTTGAAGTTTATCGATGTTCTAATAGCCCATTTATTAGAATTTTCATAACTCGTTTGTGAGCATTATAATCATTAAGTCTTAAAGTGACGTTCTTAGATATTATGCTTATATTTCACTCAAAAAGTAAAAATTAATAATAATAATTATAAAGGTCTAAGAATATCACTAAATTAGATATTTGGTAGTCTGTTTGATCCCAATTTGTAGTTAATTTGTAGATTGTTTAGCTCATTTTGAGAATTCTAGTCCATCGTAGTACGTGGTATTCAAATTATTTCATAGCCTGGTTGAAACACGATCATCAAAAAAGGCTTTTACAGTAAAAATAAATTGAACACGAAAAGAGGCTTTTAGAGGAAAATGGCACAAAGTAAAGAACTTAGTACAATTGGGAAGGAGGGGAATAACATTAGGCTGATTGCAATTATTGTCGCCCAATATCTTAAATTCTCATGTCTTAATACTAAACGGTTGACTTCATTCAAAAATTACGTAAGATCTAATAATACTCTGCAGAAATACACGCAAATGTAAGCAATTTTGTTTTCTCTTTCTTTCTTTTTTTTTTTTTTAATGTACGTGTGATCCTGGAGCTAATCCAAATTTATGAAACGCTAGTTTATTTGAACGAAATACAGCAATATTTATTCCCTGTTGTTTTATCAATAGTGGATATGAGATGAGCAGGTTAATAAAAAAGGGTAATTTAGTATTATCAACTGAGTCGATAATGTAAATTAACCAACGTAAAGGGTTTAAAAGTTGACAATTCAAGCGTCAGCCCTTCGAAAATAAAAATTATTGTTGACGTACATTGTGGCAAATAGCTGTTTAGCAATTACAATAACTCGTTAACTTGGTTGAAACTAAACTAAACAAATGAACGACTAGATTAAGTGTCTTTAGTTAAACGTTGCGATAATTATAGCGATTTACGAATCTATACGGAGTGCGCAAAACTAAACGAACTCCTCATGTAAATCAAATTATTTTCATTTTCCTCCATTGTTTCAGGTGGGTTCATATTACTTATAACACTTTCTTGGAAAATTACCGGTGCGACCTGCTTAGGAGTCTAATTAAAAAAAAGAAAGAGATCGGTTTCCTGTGGAAGGTGTGACATAAATTTTTCATTCGAGATAAGCTCATTAAAGCCACGAAAACTGTGGAAATACATGAAGGAAATGGGTGAAAATTTGGAGCTTAGAGTTTCACAGCTGACATTGTAAGACTTATCTTTCTGAGAAATAATCACAAGTATCTGGCAAAGCTATAACGTTAAGTTGCTATACCTGACTCCATCGTTTCATATCTGCCCATGGAATTGCGTCTTTATCAATTGAAGTACCTTTACGTGAAAAGGGCGTGTACTTGCTGCTGTGTTGCAGAGGAGAAACGTTAGTTAAAAGGTTTTGTACTAATTTTAAGTTTTAGACAGATTTAAAATGGTCAGAAAATTATAAAATAGAAAAAAAATCAAGTATTAAAGCGTAGGCATTTACTGTGTTGCGTAGATGCAAAAAATAAGGAATGTAAAAATTATCATAAAATCTTAGGACCATCTTTCTCATTTCGCCTCAAACATGCTAGAACTAAGTACTTTCCTTCAGTTCAGTAGGTAGAATCATTATTTGAGTGAAGAATACTGAATTATAAATGTCAGTATCAAAACCTCCTCATGATTATCGACCTACTGCGCGATATCAAGTATGCGGAGAAACGACCCTCACAATTTTTTTCCCGTACAACCAAGAGACCTTGAAGTTATATTGTCTGAAGAAATCTAAGTCATCAATCTGTTTTGGATCTGCTGGGGGAAAAAAATCCTCTTAAAATACTTGTCTTTTGTAATACCGGCCTTTGTCTGTGTGTACAGAACCTTGACACCTGATCCACCACTTGTTTCTAAACATCAAGACACTAGGGTTATAATTATAATCTACTCCAAGATAACACTAAACTAGTGAACTGTGATATAAACAATTACTTTTGGGTAACTTGATCCCCTAAACAAATTCCAAATTTCACTAAACAGTTTCCAATAGGTGTTATCATCTACCTTGGACGGCAATGAAGGTATGAACAAGATATGTAAAGTACCAGATCACATATTTTGAAGACTTAATTCAAATACAGAGCAGCCAAAGGTTCAATCCCTACAGTATTAAATATAGAATTTGTTCTTTGTCTGTTTGAGCGTTGAATCCTCTCACCAACATACATTTTTTAGGACTGTTTCAAAGAATCCGCGAGTTTCCTCCCTTTAATAAAGGGGGGCATAAATAAAACTTAGTGGGTTTTCAATCGAACAAAGCTGAATCTCAAGGTTCATTTTCCATCCTCATCTTTGTTGGTTTTGATGTTTCGTGGATTTTTCCCTCATTCATTCAACAGTTTTTAGCCAAGATCCAAAAAATACTTATATTCTTAGCATTATAGCATAATATTGGTCTTTAATTTGAATCATAATTTATCTTACAGGAAAGGACAAGCCGGTGGTCGGGATTATGCGATTATTTATTTTAATGACATTGTGTATCGTGTATGAAATTTTCGCTCAAGAGTGCAAAAAGGATGAGCATGCAATTTTTGGTATGATGATTCGACGACATACCTTCAAAAAGTTGAAATCGTCGATTGCAGTCGAATGTAATCAAGCGTGTAACGATGATTTTCGATGTCACAGCCTCAATAACTTAATTACGGAGAAATTATGTGAACTAAACAACCGGACTAAGGAGGCCAGACCAGAGAACTAACACTGAGTGTAAAATTTAAACTTTCTAAACTATTATGGGTCTTGGTTGGTGAACCTTGAGGAAGCATAGACAAATGACATGATATTACTCCAACTTTCTACTTTTGAAAGCAAATTATTTTCCATGAAAGCAAGTGGATAGCGTTATCCGCATTTTGAATTTCCAGGCCCCAGCTCCAAATATTTTTCTTCGTTTGAGAAAAGTGATGAAATTTATTATACAGCTGCACAAAGTAAGGAACAAATAACGCGCCAATAGAGTGCAAATATCCTGCGATATTGTACAGTTATTTAGAAAGTTGGTTATTTTCTACTGTAAAAAAACCTGTTTGACAAGTTGGCTACACGTGCCTTCTCTTGTACCGTATTTAACAACTGTTCCATAGTTGTTAGTTCACATCCTTCAGCTCCTCAAGTACCGGCAACGATTGATGCAAAGCGTCGTCGCTTTGTGATTGGGTCGGATGATAAAAATGAATTGTAGTTTTGGAAATCATGTTCATATGCTAAGGGCTTGTCTCCCGGTAGAGTTAAAGCTTTGTTACTGGCGATAAATTACTCATCAATTTTCATTGATAAATGTACACTTTCGTAATTGCAGTACTTTCAAATGTGCACGAGTTGAGAACAACGATCGAAAATAAAATTCAACTTTGAATCGTTTTGAAACCCTATGTGACAAGTTGACGGCTCGATTCGTAAAAATACTCAGCGATACTATACACCTTAACGTCTAAAAAGGACGTTTTTAGAGGGTGGATGCACAACTAGAAATGATCTTTGATGAAAATATTTCTCGTCCTCATTTCCTCTTGGTTCAATTCCTGAATTTCCAGAGGAAAAATGTGAAGAGATAAAGGCCAGCGAAGATGGAAAAGCGAAAAGTGGCGAGTTCTGAATTAATTCCATTAAAACGGGAAAACTGCTCTGGTTTCTTGCGATATGGAAACAGAAGGTAAAAATATTCAAGTTCTTGTTGTTGCAGTTGATATGAATGTGAAAAATTTTATTTAAAAATTTCTAGTTCTGGTAATTTAGATATAAAGCAAATGACAATATTATACACTTTTTGTTGCTTTTCAATGAAAACCTTAAAGCAACCATCATAAATAGTAGCAGACCTTACCCTTATCATTTCCCATTTGCACGTGTCTGCATTTATTGAGTAACAAAAGTTATGTGTACCCTAGGATTCGGTAGACTTTTAAGGGCCAAATTCTTTCGATCATCACGGCTCGACCAAGAAACTTTAGCAAGTGATTAATTGTAAAGCATTCAAACTAGCATATTAATATGCAGCTTTTGCAAGCAAATGTGTGCGT